TCATTAAATTTTCTAAAATTTTTTGGTTAGTTTGTAGCAATGAATGAGGCAGATTCCCCTGAGTATGCAGGGGTAGCATGTATCTCCCTCTGTTTCTCATCTTGAATCACAAGAGAGTATGCCTGTCTAATGGAAAGTAAAGGCGATGACAATAAAATGTTGCTCCTTACCCCAATAAATATGTCGTTTAGTCCCATTAGGAACTATAGTAGTGTCTCATCTTGGTGTGCTTTCAAGCTTTTGACTTTTGCCCCACACTCACACTCACAAACACAAGCAGAAAATGTGTTGAGTGCATCTAGTTCATCCCATAGGCTCTTCATTCTGGTGAAGTAAGTTGATACACTTGAATTTCCTTGCACCACTGAACTAAATTCCTTTTGTAATTAGAACAACTTTGCTCCATTTGCCTGTCCAAATCTGTCTTCCAGGTCACTCCATAAATCCTTTGCACTCTGTGAATAGAGCACACTCTCAGCTATCTCTTTGGACAACGAGTTGAGAAGCCATGAAAGTACCATATCATTACACCTACCCCAAGCCTGCTAGATTGCAGAATCAGTCTTAGAGATAAATAAGAGTACCATCGATAAATCCCAACCTGTTCTTTGCAGACAAGGCAATGATAACTGCCCTTCTCCAACTTCCATATCCTTTTCCATCAAAAAATAAGGATACAAGGTTCATCCCTGGATAGTCAGAAGGTAGTAAGGGTGAGTAGAGTCAATCACTCCTGAAGCAATGGTAACTGTAGGTGCATGAACATTGGTGGTGGCATCAGCAGAAGCTAGAGTATCAACCGATTCTGGTGAACTACTCATAGCAGACAAGCTTAAGAGAAGAAGAAAAGTGAGGAAGAAAAACTGATTTATGACTGAGAAAGCAGAAAATGATAGCAGAATTAAACCTGCTATGATACCATGAAAGAATGAGAAAATGATTTGAAGATTTCCTTCTTTTGTATTTTGAATAATCTGTTGTATTAAGTGTACAAGCCTAAGATTATATACAGAAGGGATGTTTCTAGGGCTACATACTATATTGCCAAGTGGCAATATCCTATTAGCTAGCATAAAGTTGTACATAAAATAAATATAAGGATGGAGCAAATAATTAAAATACAAAGGTATGGGGAAAATAAGTAAAATATAGAGTAACATGTGCTATGCACTATGTTCCTAATAGTACTGGACAGGGAAAACCCATAAGTGGGCTAGGGGTAAGCAGGCCCAATTCTTGGAGCATTGATGACCCAAAATTAGGCCCAGGCCCAAAACCGAGTGGCCTCATATGTGTGCTAAGTCAGATCTGTTAATCAGATCATTTCATCTTCATCGACTCCAACACCCCCCTCCCCCAAGTTGGAGGGGGTAGAAAACACATCCAACTTGCCCAAAAGATCACGATGAAGAGGTTAGGTGAGTGGTTTGGTAAAGAGATATACCAACTGGGCAGAAGATCGAGCAAATGATAACGAAATCAGCCCAGCTAGGTATTGGTCGTGTACAAAATGATAGTTGATTTCAACGTGCTTCGTCCATTCGTGAAAAACAGGGTTTTTTGCTATATGAATTGCTGCTTGGCTATCAGAGTGAAGAGTGATTGGAAGAGAAACAGAAATTGACAAATCCTCAAAAAGACGAACCAACCATGTAAGCTCTGCAACCACTCGCCTCATAGATCTGTATTCTGCCTCGGCCGAACTGAGCGAGATGGAAGTTTGCTTCTTGGATTTCCAAGAGATCGGAGAGGTACCAAGGGAAATGTAAAAACCACTTACAGACTTCCTCGAGTCCGGTAGGGGCGGAGCTAGAGTACTGGGAGCGGGTTCGCTGAACCCAATAGCTTTGATTCAAACCTTATATTTGTCTTTAAAAATATATCGAATATGTACAAAATATTAATTTAGAAACCAGTAACTTAAAAAGATTAGAATTCTAAACCCATAAGATTGAAATACTAGCTCCGCCTCTACTGGTCGATGGGGAGAATTTTCAGGGAAAAGCGGTGAAAGTCAAACTTCAATTTTAGCAAAATGAGCTTGACAACATTTCAACTCTAAAGTTTTTTAGCTCATTTTAAGGACTCTTGAGTTTAGTCCCAGTCAGCATATCGATCACAAAGGTTAGGCCAAGGCCACCCTTGAGACCAAATAAAATACTAATATCTTGAATTAAGGATTACAAAGAAAAAAGAATAAAACAAAAAGTTAAAAATATAGACAACGGACCCCGAATTAGAGTTTCAGAATCAGACGTCGCTGGTGGCCTTTGCTCCTTAACAGCCCAAGTCTAATGAGGTCTTAAGTTTTACCTTAAGCATGCTGCTGTTAAAGGTATCTTTGGGTCACCGAATTGGCATATTCTGCATCATGCCTATACAAATCTTTGTTGTAAAACTCAATGTGTTTGTGTTTTGTCAATTATTTTGTTGTATTATATTAAACCTTTCAGAGCTAGACGCTCTACGTGGCCTTTTCTTGCTAAGGGGCTCAGTGGACTTGAAGAGGGGAGAAATTCAAAAATAGCCAAATTTAAAAGTGGTCATTCAAAAATTGTCACAATTTCAAAAATAATTGAAATTTAGTCACTTTTCATGTAAAGATAAATATGAATGAAAACACTATTCAAAATTCGGAAAAATACTTCAGTATAATATAATGGAATTCTAGTATAAGTATACTGGAGCTCCAATATATTATACTGGAATTTTTTAGTATAATATACCAGTCCAGCATAATATACTGGAGATTGGAGTACCGGTGCTCCAATCTCCATTATAATATACCGGAACTTTCCGTTGGAGTTCCAGCATAATATGCTGGAAGTTCATACACATGTGCACCGATCTCCAGTATATTATGTTGGAACTTTCCGTTTTACAACAAAATAGTGGTTGTTTTTCAATGATTTTGCAAACGTTGGCTATTTTTGAATGACCAGTCCGAAAACTGGTTAGTCCGTGCTATTTTTACCTTGAAGAGAGGAGCCTTGTAACTTTGGCCAATCTTTTCAACTCTCGGTGGTTTAAGTTGGTTTTAAACGATAAATTTCTCTGTTCACTTTTATTTGTTCATTATATTAAAAATACAGTTTTACTTTACTTGTTCATTTTAGCAAATCAAGAAAAAGAGAAAGAACGTTTATGTTTTACCTTATCATTAACTGCTCATTCTCCAAATTATTTTTCAAGATTTTTTAAAATACTATCATTAGTATGAGTTTATGGTAAAATTTACAATTCATTTATTCTTTCTTAAGGAGAGTACAAAGTCCATTGCGGACAAGTAAAAGTAAAAAGAGGGAGTGATCGTAAAATGTGCACTTCATTTTTGTGATTCATTTAGTCATATAGTCTTACATTTTTTACTTTTTTATTTTTCAAACATATTTTAAAAATATTTTTCTTGAGCCGAAAGTCTATCGGAAACATCATCTTTATCTTCACAAGGTAGAGGTAAGGTCTGGATACACCCCACCATCCTCAGATCCGGCTTTTAAGATCATACTAGATATATTATTGTTATTGTTGAATCACAAATTACCGTGAATATATCGCTTAACAATAATACGGATAAAAAATGGAAATGGAATTTTTATCTTATATAGCAAAAGTTAACACCTTATTTATTTTAAATAAATACCATTTAAAAAAATTATATTCTATAGATACCTTTTAAGGTTTATAGCAAAATATTTAATTTTGGTTTCCTCCTAGCCCTAAACCACTAAATACGCTAATCAATTACACTTTTTTCTTTCTTTCTCTACTTTGATACATCTCATTCTCCCAAAGTTTCGTGGACCTCTTCCACTAATATCAACTCTCTTTACTCCCAAAGTTTCGTGGAGTCCTCTAATTACTCTTTCTTTTTTCCAAAATTCTCATCTTTGATCAAAGAATGAAGATATGAAGAAGAACAGTGCATATGAGAATTCTTGGGCTGATCAGTGGGACTACAATAATACATAACCATATTTCAAAGACACCAAAGAAAGTAATTCTGGTGGCGGCGGAGTGGCAAAGAAGGTGAGAGATTGTGCAATTAAATATAACAGCAGTTTGTTAAGCATGATCTCGCCAGAATTGGAAGAAGTCATCTTGCCAAACAACTCAGAGTGAAATTTTCACGAAGGCGACGCGTTTTCACTATAGGCTTCCGGTGAACGGCGAATTCACCGGAAATTAGGGTTTGTTCTTTAACAAAGACGATGGATTTTGGGGTTGAGCAACTTGATTTTCTGTTAATATATTTCAATGTATTTTCATGTATTTCATTGTATTCATTGTCTTTTTTTTCATTGTAATTCAATGTATCTTGTTGTATTCCATGTATTTCATTTTATTCATTGTCTTTTTTTTCATTATATTTTAATATATCCCGCTGTATTCTATGTATTTCATTGTATTCACTGTCTCGCTATTTGCCATGAATGTATTCATAAGTTTTTTTTTAATTAATATAATTTATGTATTCAGATGTATTATATAATTTCTCTAAATATTGCTATATTTTTGGGGTATTTTTCGGTTGAGAATCTTTTTATAACTGAAAATACAAAATTTGTGTGTTATAATTGAGTTTATTGAGTTATATTCAGAGTCTATTATGTTAATTGATTCACTTTCCGTTGAAAAAAACAGTGTAATCCCCTATTTCACGTTGTGAATAAGGTCGAATACAATAATCTGTCCAGTGTAATCCCATGTTTCACTCCATGAATACAGTCAAATACTCTCGAATACAACAACTGATTAGCTGGACTTCCCTGATTCACACCTATTTTTGCTACTGTATTCATGAATACAATAGCTTAAATACATCAAATGCATCTTATAACCACATAAATATATCTATAATCCGTAATATAGCAAATAGTATCTATAGATGACTAATTACTGCTAAAAGATAGTGGTATGTGAGAATTTAGAAGCAAGACATCATTGAGACCAGCCCATTTTGTTTTTCGGCGGAGTTGGGCCACTAATTGAAGCCCAGTAAAAAGACTTCTTTGTCCACTCGGTAAAGCTTCTCTGCTCCATCTGTTATCAGACTTCCGAACGAAATCACGGTGACTAAAGCAGGATACTACAATCAACGTCTCCGGAATGAGTGCAGGTGATTTTACTCTGTATGTAGGCTTTTGCTTACTTCTCTTTTTAGATGCCCACCATTTTTATAAGAATTTGTCACGAGTATGTGATTTTTCATTGAGAAGTTATTTATTTATTTTTTTCAATTGAGAAGATATCTTAAAGAAGCACAAAATTAGCTCTACTGTATTTTGCACTCACCTACTTAGTAAGTGATGTAACAAAATTCATGTCAAGTGGATTACGATGGCATACTTAAGTCCAGAGTATGTTTGATTGAATTCTGTTTCAATTTTACTTGGGTTCTTTCGGTGTTCCTTTAGTTCGACAGAATGAATACTACGGACCGTTTGCGCGGGGCGGGACGGTTAAAAACAGCAAATGTTGATTTGCGGGGCGGGGCGGGTTGAAGTCTTCGCAGGTTTGCCCCGCAACCACACTGCCCTGCACCATTTGCCATCCCTATAATGGCTATTGTCTACGGTATATCTGATCTTTATAACATACCGGGAAAACTTATTGATATGTATGGTGTGTGTGTGTATGTTGCCAAACCTATGAAACTTCTTGGAACCAAATTCTAAAGAAAAGTTGCATATGTTGCCAAACCTATTTGATGTCTGAAGTTTATATGATAATCAGCTTCTTATAACTAAACAGACGTGCATCGAGTAAATTCTCTTTTCTCTTTTGAGCTAGTGATTAATGTAACTGGATGTACCATAGAAGACTAGGGTTTACATCATAGTAAAAGCTAAAAAGGTTAGGTGACTTATTCTCATCTATCTAAGCTTTTGGGATAGAGTTACCCATTAACTTTGTTGGCGGGAAGTAGCAAGTACCTAGTGATTAGTCGCAGTGTGTACAAGATTGTTCGGACACCACGGTTTTAAAAGAAATCCTAGCTCTTATATCGCCAACTCCGGTATGATTCTTTGTCCTCATTGTGAAACTTGCGGCATTTGTTTTAATTAACAAAACTGGAAGCCAAGAGGATGATATTTTGATAGGAAGTTGGAATTAATATAGTAAACACTGTATTTAAAGCAAAAAGTTTTTCAAATGCCTTACTTTGAAGAAACACAATGCAAAGGCATTTCTGGAGGGACAAAGCTGAATAAGCAATTCAAACTGATTAATTGGTAGTATAACAGCTTCTTCTTTGGAAGCACAAGGAGATTGAGCCTATTCCAAAGCCACATGTAATGTGCAACAACCTAAACCAAACGGAGCAACATGCTTTTGGTCCTATTTGTATGAGTATTTGTTTCATAATTCTTTACACGTCTTTAAAATATTTATTTCAATTCATTGAAGGGGGAGCATTTGGAGGAAATAGAGGACTGAGACCGGTTCCACCAGAGAAAGGAGTTTTCCCTTTGGATCACATGCATTTATGTGACGTGGTAAATTCCTTTTAAACTCTCATAGCTAATTTGTTTTGGTGATGCCTTCTGCATGTTACTTCCTATTTGTGTTATGAAGATGGAAATTTGTCGTGACAGACATAGGTTTTCCTTGAGACATTAAATTCCTTTTTCTTGTTTTCTGTTGTTTGTTGTCTATTTTAGGAGAAGAAGGAATACCTCAATTGTCTTAAATCCGCTGGGCATAAATCTGAGCAGTGTAGACACCTCTCCAGAAAGTACCTGGAGTGCCGTATGGAGAAGTAAGTCCATTAGTTTGGTTTTGAATACTTCTTAGACTACTTAATTCTTCTATATCAACAACAACAACAACAATAAACCCAGTGTAATCCCACAAGTGGAGTATGAGGAGGATAGTGTGTACACAGACCTTACCCCTACCTTGAGAAGGTATAGAGATTGTTTCCGATAGACCCTCAGCTTTAATTCTTCTATATCTAGTATACTTTAGCACACAACTTGATGTAGTCATCGAAGGTGTCTCAGTTGCTTTGGTCATTGCACTATATTGTTTTCGAGTTTGTATAACTTCTTAGAACTAGATTATTTATAAAGCCACCTATAACACTTGGTAAAAAATTAAATTCATCTTCTATATTTTCAATATGTGCAAATTTTGCCTTGGGATGCATCTGAAAGATGAATTCCTATAATTTTTTCTTCTAAATTTTGTCCTAGAGCGCAAAAGGTGAAAAGTTTGCTAATGTAAAACATGATCAATTATCTGAGATGGCCATATCTCAACAGTTAATTAATATGATTATGCACCTAGCAGAGGATGATGGCAGATTAGTTGGAACCATGACACTTATTCCTCTCTCAAATTTTCTTCTGTTAGGTGTTTTAATGAATAATGAGAAGCATTTCTAAGAAAGTAATGGATAGTGCTATTTTGGTGCTTATTTTGAAGTTGTTGCAAGTTAGCCCCTGCATGAGTCCCAGACTCCCAGGATCCCTGATATTGGGTATTTTAGGCGGGCCATCTTGGATACCAACAGTAGATGCTTTATTTGAAGAGAAGGGTTGTGAGTTTCCTTTCTTTAACTTGGGAAGATAACAGAGGCTTAGGATAATTTCCTAGATAGTTGATGGCTTTTAGCGAGATTGTTCAACCAAAATATGCCTGTTTATATGATTATTTTTATTAAAAAACAGCAAATCATTTATCTTAGTATGGGAATGTAGACAGCAAGCAGATGACTGTTTCATGAGCCCATTGCAGGAATTTGATGGCAAAACAAGACATGTCTGAACTTGGCTTTGGCAAGAATTTTGACGCCGAAACTAAATTAGAGGAGAAGGTAGAAGGGACGATAGAGAAATGACGAATCAGTTACTTTCCATGGATTTTTGTTGAGTGTGGCTGTAAAAGTTTCCATGCCTGCTTACCATACTTGCATGACCCACAATTTCTGTAACCTATAAGAGGAAAGGCACATTTTGCTTTCACACCCTTTTCTAACCTATTTATTTCTTTGTTCCCCTGGATCTCTCTGTAAGCTGAACGAAAATATTTGTAGCGAGAGCGGAAGAGAAACAAGCAAGGAATCGAGGAAATGCTATTTTAACTGGATATTGTCTGCACATGGGCAAAGATCACTTTTGCCCGCTGCAGAAATTATTTACAGCAGATAGACGCCGAAAATTATTTTAAGAGCGGGTATACAATGTCATTTTCCATTCTAGATTGTGAGGCCAGTCTTAACTCAATCCACTAGTTGGACAGAATCGGATTGGCATTCTTCTGGGCCATTTAAAAGTGAGGCTTTTAACCCAGGCCAAGTCGCCCCATCATTCTTATGAAATTGGGCTTTTAAGTGATTGCAAGTGGAAAATTATGGAGGTTTAAAGAAAATGTGGAATTCTTGTCAGTAATGGACTAAAATTATAACCAATTTTTATCCTCTCTTATAATCCTTCTTTCTTCTATCTTCTACTTTTCTCAATAATAAATCGTTTAATTTGAACAGAAAGACAATATTAATACAATCATAGGACAATGTAGTTTTTTTCTTTACTAGAGTATATTATAAGTTATAATATTGACGTCATGCTACTTTAAGTCGCTACTTTAAGTCGCTACTTTATCAAGTAAGAAAAAGACTGAGATACCATGCTATGTACGAGAGAATAATTTTGCTTGAAATAACTCAGATCAATGAATAATGTCATGATTTTCTTTTCATACAAATCGATGCGCATGAATGCCAAGCTTTAGGAGAGAAGAGATACTCTGTATTAATATGCTAATTTCTAAGATTAGATTTTGGTGAGTTTTGAAACCCAATCTAACGTTTTAGATTCTTAAAACCAAAAACTCAAAAATCAACCGGCTTAAATGAAATCTGCAACTATTCCCGGTTTAATCAGTATGGTGTATTTCGAATTTCTTACTATCTAGTTAGCTGAAAAGACACCAATATAGAGATTGAGACATCTCTTCCAATTAGACCAGATATTAAATATCCCGCGACTTTTAGAATTTTTATTTGAAAATGCTCTATCATACCCGATTGTGACCGATGTAAAGGGTATTTGCTTATTAACCAAAATTAATTCCTATTAGAAAAGACTTGAGTATTCAACTCAGAGGAGGATGGCATGGACTTCGTTGTGATTAGCATATTACCATATGATCTTTTCTGAGGCGAGTCTTATAATTTTGACTCGTCAATTCAGTAGCCTAAAATTCATATTTAAAAGTATTCTGATGAATTTTTTAGTGGGCGTTTGGACATAAGAATTGTAAAATTTCAAACAAAGTGAAACTTTTGTTCAAGTGAAAATGATATTTGAAAAACAGAGTTGTATTTTGGATTGTTTATATTATTGGACATGAATATATTTTGAAGTTTTGTGAGTGATCTGAGTGAAATGAATTTTTTTTTATGTCCAAACGGGCTCTTAATTTTGCGGACAAAAAATAACGATGACAATCTTAAATAGGTGTCTAAAAAAGGGTATTAGCGCAAATACCCTTCTTGTAAGTTGTAAGTAGTAGTATAGCATGAAAACGCCACTAATCCATCTTCCATTCACTCAAAAGTTGGACACAGTCACCGGCCAAGCCGTTCTTGCATTTAATTAAAATGGTATTCGCATTTCGTACGTCCATTTATTTAAAATGCACCGTCGATCGTTTACATGTGTCGGAATCTAATCACCACCCCGAACATGCACGAAATTTTGAATACAAGTCAAAGGCGGGTTGAGAATTGGTCAAATATTAACCCATAATTAATATAAACAAAACTCTCTGACCAATTAATGCATAAAACGACGGAACCCCACCATGTGAGCAGGTTGTGGGTGTTGCTATGATGCTATCCTCAAAATTCAAAAAAAACAGTGGGCCCCACTAAGCGGCTCATGCACCGGCACCAACCAACCCAAACCCAAGACGCTCTCACACGCGCCAACTTACTCTTCAAAATTCAAATTCCTCTTTTGAGCGTCTCTAATTAATCGTCTCCCTTTTGGTTGGTAAATGTGACCCTTTTCTTTAATTATTTTGAAAAAACATTATACAACAATTTAATTTTAATTTTCTTATGAAAACATTATGGATGTATATTTCATCACAAATTTCAAAAAATTTCTTTTTTAAAAAAAGTTTATATTCAATCAAATATGTTTACACGAAAATGGGACGGAGGAAATATAACATCCTGCCCTTTGTCGCAGTGAAAAAATTGAAAATGTATTATGATTTACAACTTGTACTTTGACGGTGAAAAGATTTGAACAGTGAAATGAATCCGAACCGTTGAACTTTCATTTCATCTTCTAACTTCAAACCCTCTCTTTAATCAGCCCTTCTATTTGTCTGATACCACTCAGACACACATTCTATTCTTAAATCCGAAACTAATCCGTTTATCAAATCATTGATTTCTATAAAAAAAAAATAGAGAAAAGATCGAGGCTTTCTGCTGATTGATATTTTCTGGAGGTGGGAAGAAGAAGAGAGCGGCTTTCGGTGATTGAGTTACGATTTCTGTTCGGTAAATAGAGAGTGAAAGAAAAATGAATGCAGTAGGACGGCAAAGATCTGGAACGTCGACGGCGCACCACCAGCGGCAATACTCCGACAACTTCCTGGAAAACTCATCCAATGGTAGATGGCTTCAATCAGCTGGTCTTCAACATCTTCAAACTTCAAATAACTCTATTCCTCCTCCACAGGTTTCCGATACTTCCGACATTTTTTATTTTTCCTATTTTTTGTTTTTGTTTTTCAAGCTCACTGTTGCCCTAGCTCATAGATCTAAGAACTCAGTGTTTTTCTTCATTTGATTTTGTTATCGGTTATAGGATTATGGATACTATGGTGGAGCTCAAGGCTCGAGAATGTATAGAGGTGCACAGAGGACTTACAGCGGAGGAAGCGATCTCTTTGCGGAGCCTTTGACGCCGCCGGGTAATCCTCGACAGTCAAGCCAGCGAAGGAACGGTGATGAAGAAATATCTCCCAATGAGTTCAGTCCTGGACTCTTAGATCTACACTCATTGGATACTGAGCTTCTACCTGAGGTTTGGTTTACAGATTCTGCATTCGTATTTTAAGGGGATTGGATGAACTGATTATTCTAATAATGCTATTGGATATCGCCATTGTTATGTCAGTGCAAGATGTGCAATTATTTTGCTGCTTTAGTAAGTTTTATATGATATGCGTTTGATTTGAGCTTCTCATTTACAGTGCCACAAAATTCTTGTTCACTTTTAATAAGTTTTACATGATTAGAGGTTCTTATTTACAACGCCACCGATGTTGTTACCATTTTGCCTGTTGATTTTCGGTTACTACAGTGGCAATTGGGTGTTAGAATCTCCAAGTTGACACACTTTGGCTCTTTGAGCTACATTTTATTATAGCATCATTTTGGTCAAACCCTAAACCACATATATCTGGATTTCAGCAGTTTGATGTATGTCAAAAACATATGTCATTTTGGCCCTTGTTCCTGCCATTAGATCATTTACATAATGTCAGACTAGCTTTGATTGAAATTTCGTAGTTTTAACTCTGTATTTCCTTTAGTTTGGATTTCAAGTTCTCGTATGTTGACTTCCCATATATAGATGCCTGTTGCTGGCTTGTATGATGCTCCTTCCATGCATCACTTTGCTCGAGCAAAAAGCTTTGATGACTCGGAGCAATTCCTTGCAAACAACAAGCAAACTGGTCGAGTTCGGGGCTTACCAGAGAGTAATGTTTCTAAGAGTTTTGCTGTTGATAAAGAGAAGGCCAGCAATGTTGCAAAGATCAAAGTGGTGGTATGTTTTACTCAACTCCATTACTTCTGGAGTCTAAACATTTTATTCTCAGTTTAGAGAGTGCAGAATACTTATTTTCTTAATGAATACAGCATATACACAATCCTTATTATGTGGTTTCATTATCTTTTCTCTGGCACAGGAGCCAACCTTCTTTCATGTGTATTACATGTGAAAGAAGTCCTTAGTGCTTGTTCTAGTTGTTGTTCTAATGATTATCTACTTCCAGGTGCGTAAGCGACCACTAAACAAAAAGGAATTGGCAAAGACTGAGGAAGACATCGTTGAAACACGTTTCAACTCTCTAGTAGTCCATGAAACTAAACTCAAGGTTTGTGGAAATGCAAATGATTTATCCTGTATTAGCAGTTAAATATGTCTATCCCTTCACCTACAGTCTGGTGACAAGAACGAATACTTCCGTAACCAGCAATCTGAAAATCACTATTATCAAACAGTTAACCATGGTTGCCGGATAGAATTCATTTTTCTTGAATGCCAAAAACTTATGCAGTAAGATTAAGAATGTTGAGATCTGATTGTTTGCCATGATGATTGTTCCCTTTGTGTTTTGTAAATCTCCCTCCCATGTCATGTTGCTTCACTTGGCCCGAATTTTCCCTAAATCCGTTTTATGAATTAAGATTTCTTACATCTGACTCATGTACAGGTTGATTTGACTCAGTATGTTGAGAAGCATGAGTTTGTCTTTGATGCTGTGCTAAATGAGGAGGTTTCAAATGATGAGGTGATTATATAATACAGGATTCTACATCAGACCCAAACTCTTAAGTGCATTCAGATCCTTGTTAACTTTGGTCTGCCACATGTCTCCTTAGGTATACCATGAAACAGTAGAGCCCATTGTCCCGATAATTTTCCAACGCACAAAAGCTACTTGCTTTGCATATGGGCAAACAGGTAAGCAACCTGCACTTGATCAGTAGTTTTCATCATCTTTCACCGTTATTACTCTTGGCACAAGTATTGTTGATATCACCTAGTTCCTTTTCCTGTTGATTGTCCTAACTGTGAAGAATTGTTGTTTGAATGAATTTGGATCTTGTAACAATTTGCTCAATTATCAGTGGTTTCCAATCTCTAGATGCGCTTTTCATGCGGGGTGAGTTTCTTATGAACACTTTCGATAATGTTGCCTTTAGACCCTCTGTACTGACTGATGCTAGTGAAAATATTTTACACCTGTAATCATTTGTGGCTTTTCTTTGTTATTTTGATGATCAAACTCCTTTATCAATTAGTTGAAGATCACATGAATATTAATCGGGATACGTCAAACACCATCTAGTGGTGCACATTCAGGGAGTATTACTATGAAGTTTTTGTACTCAAATTCCCTTATTGTAACAATTCCTCTCAAGTTCCAAGTCATTTAGGTATAA